GTGGCCTGCACCCTAGTAGCGACGGCCTCCAACCTACTAGCTTCTTGTTCCTAGTAGTGCCGCAATGCCCTTGTTGTGGAGTGAGCAGATTTGCAGCAGAGGATCTGCTCCACGGTTGCGCCCATCAGCGCACCATACACAGCTGCAGACGCAATGGCACCTGATTCTGGGGCATGTGCGTGGCCCTGCTTTTTTTTCCGTGCTCTCCCTCACAGCACATGACCGCGAAGGTTCGCACGGTCGACAGAGGAACAAACAAACCCTCCAATAAACCACCAAGATCTTGCAGGCAAGGGGCCGTGAACGACATGATCGATCTTGTAGCCTCAAGTGACTCAAGGTGTGGAACACCCACAGTTCATAAAGAATCAACAAAACGAAAAACAAGGACAATGAACAATGGGAGCCGACTTCCAATGGTCCTCTTGAGAGTCTTGGCTTGCAACTCAACAGTGTCCAATCACGCACGTCATTCAGGGCATACAAAAAGCCCATGGATGCACCAAAATCTCACTGGATGAATCTTGTCATGCCATAAATAAAATCCGGAAAACCCCAAGATGTAATACACATCACTAATAACATATTCAGCATCTTATTTGGCAAATGCCCACCCGAGCCGTTCCAGCATCCAAAAGCACCCAAAGAAGGTAGTATCGCTACTAGGGGAGCAACAAGAAGCTGCTAGGGGCTCCAGGCATCGCTACTAGGAACAAGAAGCTACTAGTAACAAGTGCATCGCTTCTAGTAACAAGTGCCTTACTAGTAGTAACAAGAAGCTATTAGAAACAAGTGCCACGCTAGTAGTAACAGGTGCCTTACTAGTAGTAACAAGAAGCTACAAGTGCCTTACTTGCAGTGAGACGGAGCCCACGAGACCGTTCCAGCACGACTGGCACCAGGCGGCTCTTCAGGCTGAAGACCTAGGCACGAAACCGGCGTTCTTTCAGCTTCAAATCAATGTGTTCATATCTAGACTCCTAGGACTCCTAGGACTCCTAGACAAATGAACGTAGTGGTTCAACACATTCCTTCTTGGTGAGCCAGCTCTGAGAAGGTCACTCAATCTACAACCTGACACATGTGTGCGTGTGTGGCGCGCTGAGAGGGTGCCATTTGGCAGTCCCTGCCAAACGGCGGCCCTGGCCTCAGCCAATCGTCCACGGATCTCATCCAAGGCGATCATCGCCAACAATGCTTTCTTGCCATCAACCTGCCCCGTGACCTGCAAGCCGTTCATGTGCACAGGCGCGGTGCAGCCACTGCGCGTTCGGCTGCGGGAGCTGACAGAAAACACAAGGCAACGAATGCCAAAGCGAACGGATAACATCTTGCACGCTCGTTCGCTCTCTCCTCCTTCCCCCTCCCTCTTGTACAAACCTGGGGCTGCTGCAAGCTGCTATGCATGGGTTGTTGTTCTCACCTTATGTTCCCTTGGTGTGTCCTTGTATTGCTGAGCTCCACTAGCTTTCTGAGATCAAGACTCTGCCTGATGAATGCCGTGTGTATTATTGAAGCTCCCCTGGACATGTCCGGAACATTGCTCCGTTATATAAAAATCATAAAAAATGCAGCTGCAAGCTTTGTCGCGATCGTTGCATTCAACCCGTAGACTCTACAGCCTCGACTCGTTTGACAAACGTTTGTGGCTCAGTGTGCTTGTGAGCCAAGATGTGGAAGCTCCCTCATGCTGAGAGTGAAACCTGTGTCGTTACACCTCCCTCTCTCTCCCATGTCAGTCTGGCTTTGGCATGTGCATATAGTAATAGATCGGCATGATACGTATACCGTATACCCCATTGCTATTCAATTATATACATTTACATCATCTGCGCCTGTGCTGCGGCCATCACCACAGGGTAAAAGTCATTGTGGCCAAACTCACCTGGCTCACACATATGTCTGTTGCCAAAAGCGAGAGAAAAAAGAAGGTCTGTCCACAAGACGGCCTGCATCATGCCCAGGAATACTGGGGTTGAATCCAAAGACTGTTCCATTGGAGTCCCACTCTCTCACCTTGGCTTGCAACTTCTCCACATCCTTCCTCCATAGACTTAAGCTGCATACTCAATACTCAATGCAAGGGTAGGGCACACTGGCAGGCCCAAGCCCTTTAATTTATCGTTTCAAACCACCCTCGTTGCCCAGGATTGCATGATTGCCCCGCGCTGCATGGCTGCATCAAGGATACTGCAGAAGCATTCGCCGCGATCACTTTTTCTGGAGCACATCTGGCCTTGAGGGACAGACAAGTGAAAGCTGACCCTGGACGAACCGACATGTGCTTCTGTGCCGCACGAAAATCACCAAAGCTAGCTGCGTGCTTCGTCAAGCGGCGCTGCTGCCAAAGACCGTGGCTCCCTTGGGGTCACTGTAGGTCAAAGCTTCCTCACGAAGGATTGTGGGGGCGTTGGTCTTGAGCGCCAACGCTGAGATGCCGCACATGACCTGAGATGCGCCAACGCTGATTTTCTCTTGTTCGATTCTTTTAGCTTGAAGTCTACAAGATAATACAAGCAATGTTAATCATGTGAATGACCAGTGCTGAACCCTGATGCTGACTACTGAATCTCTGATAGCATGAATCGAAGGCAGTTGTAGGTCACAAACCGAATTGAAGTCACAGTCCGAGCCCTACTTACTAGTACGAGTACAGCAAGCAACATCCTGCGAATTCAGTGCAGCTCCAATCCATGTTCTTCAGGCTCATATGTAATGTATGTCACGGTGCTGCATGATCAAGTCATGTATATATAATATAAATAGGCTTGGAACGCTTGCAAAGCAAATAGCTGCAAAGGGGCGGAGTCTGTGTGAAACATCTCCACCCGCTCATAGACAGAAGCGTCGACATTGTCGCCAAACTTACCGTCCAAAAGGTCCTGTCAAGAAGGATTGATCATAAATGTTCATACTTACACTTGAGTTGGCTCCAGAACTGCACATTGAAAGTGTTCCTGCATTCTTGTTGCAATTCTTGCTATGTATGCAGCGTTGTTGAAAAAGAGTTTGATAGGCGGATGCAGCTGAAAAGAACTATATACTGTATCAGCAATGTCCGGATTTCTGTTGAACCCACTGGTGAGTAGTGAATGAAGGAAAGATTGGTCGGGAAGGTGCAATGCCATCCACCCACTCCATCTGAGGACATGAAGGAGGATGCATTTTAGACTACAGTATTCTGCGGTCTTAAGCTCTTGGACTGTTGCTGTTGTCGGAGCATGTCTGAGAGTGCTCCATGGTGACGACCTTCCAACATTGAATGGTTCCATTGAAACATTCAGCTGACGCTTCGTCCAAGAAACTGGTCTCGAATCCGACATGACCTGACCGGGCCGCTTGGGCTTCCTGAACGGGTTTTTCTCTGCGAAAGGCTTGCATCAGCGACTTTCCAAATGCAAGCAGCATCATCCCCGGATACTCTTGGTACTTTGCCAAAAGGGCTTTGCCTTTTGACATCAATTTCAAGGCAGCTGGTCGTGGCCCATGGCCTATTGATCGGCCAAAGGCGTCGTGGCCTCATTTTCTTTAAAGGCATTTTCTGCAGCACTCTTCATATCCGTCCGGAGTAGTGGCAACATGTAGAGGACGAACAGCAAAGCATATCCAAGGCCAATACCCAAGTAGACATTCTGCAAAGTCCTTCCAAAAAAGTAGAATAGCAGCAAGAAACCAGGCAGCTGCCCCCCCCCAGGAACCAATGAGGGCAGCCTTGAAAACGGTATCGGTCTTCTTCAAAGCAATCAGGAGGCTTTCGAAATGCATTGAGAAGCACATGAAGAAAATCATGAGTCCCATCTCATGTCGGCATTCTTCGAACAGGTCTATGACCTCAGGATCACTGCTGAATATGGATGCCAATTGCCTGACATATACTAGGGTTGCAAAGGTTGTTACGGACAGAAAGGCCCCCCACGCTTCCAATACCGAGATCTCTGATCTTACTTGATAAATGCCCATCACCCGTACCAAGAGCAATGCCCAACTGGGTCACAGTGGCGCTACTAAAGGAGCCAATGACGGTCAAATTCATCCATGCCAGGCGGTAGCTGGCATTGAAGACTGCAACCTCCCGGCCGCCCAGTGTTCCGGCGAGCAGGCCAATTGCAGACATGCGCCAGAAGTCAGACGCCAACGCCAAAGTGGCAGGGATCACCAGGCGGACATAAGACCACACTTTCGGGTGGATGTTGTTGTCATAGTACGCGAAGCGGCCTGAGCCATCCGTGAAAACGGGAGCCACAAAGACATCCCGGAGATAATTCCACTCCTGCAGCTTCGGTCCGTAGCATTTTTCATGGTACTTGAAGTAGCCACAGTAGACCACAAGTAGTACAGCTGCCACAAACCACTCCACAAGACTGGTCACAATCGGACATGCCCAGAAGCCAAAGTGCAGGCCTGAAAAAGGAATCCCAAGAACGAATTGCAAGCCTAAAACCAAGTTCAGGATCAAGGCCAGTGGTGTTGTCCTTGAACTGGGTCCCGTGATCTTTTGAGAAGTGAAGAAGCTAGTCAACCTCCCTGAGAGCATTGTGGCAGGTAAGCAGCAAGCCATCACCATAGCATAGTACCCGGCGTCATGTGCAGTTTGGGCATCAACATTGACCAGGATTCGCAGAGCTGGCCCTGTCAAGAGCCAAAGCATGACGACAGGAATCAACACCCAGGAGAAGAGTGTTAGTGAAACCTGAAGCCAAATACCAACAAGGTCGTAATTCTTGGCTCCAAGCGCTTGTCCGCAAAGAGACCCCAGCAACGAGTCATTGACAAAGACTCCACTCATAGATGTCCAAAAGTCGGATAAGGATGATGCTGTGAGAAATTGGGTCCCAGCATGCCCCAAGAGAGCCGTGTCAGTGGTTTTCATGCCAATCCATGCCAAGCGCGCCACCAAGGTAGGCACAAAAAGAAGAAACATAGAGGCGTAAATCTGCGACAGGCTGGAAGTGCCACTGAGATCATTCACAGTTGACCTCCTGCGGGCCAACTTCGGTGCAATCTGGCCCAGCTTGGGGGGCTCTACTCCCTGTGGCATGGCGGGAAAGCTAAAGAATTGACATTGCGCTGGTCTGTCTGCCCTTGGGCCATACTAGCCGTGATGTTGTTCAAACTCGAGGCGCGCGGCACTAATGCGACAGGAAAAAAGGTCGGGTCGACCTGGTATTACTAGGTTGGAGGATGTTGGAGGCCATCGCTTCGTTGGAGGCCATCGCTTCTAGGTGGAGGCCGTTGCTACTAGGTAAGAATCGCTCTAGGTAAGAAGCGTTAAGGAGTACAAAGGTCCCTGTGCCGTGCCTCGAAACAAGCACTATTTCTGGGCTCTCGGGCTCTCGGCCACGACCCTTGACACCCCACCCCACCTTCGCATACTGGCCAATGCCCTGCGCTTGGTTCGAATCTGCCGGTAGCTTCACTGCCTGGCTTCAAGCAATGAACAACTCACAATCTGATTACAGTAAGGCAGTGTCCCCATTTTATGCCAACATCTTGATTGCATTTCTTACTAAGCAATCGCAATCCGCATCTATCCGCTATTTTGCATCTCCTGCGGCGATCTAGCCACCTGATCTCAGTGCAACACCGCAATAGACCATGTTAAGAATCCTCGTGTGATAGCAACAGCTCCGCAGTCTCGCTGGTGCAAAAGGACTTCGGACTTCGCTGCCGAGATGCTGAAAAATGACGGGCATGCCGCGCGTGTGGCCGCAAAGAAGCGATTGTGCGCGAGATCATTTGCCTCAGACGTTGCGTGCCATACACCCTGAGATTGTGTAGCCACCCTGCACATACACCGACAGGGCAGTTGTGAAACCACGTTTTGTTATGTGACGACTGCTGTCACTCAATCTTTGCCAAGGAAAAGACGACTACTTCGAGCAAGCAATAAGGGGCCAGCGAGGGTTTGAGATACGTGGCTGGACCAAAAGCACAAAGAGGGTATGAAATCTGCCAACCAGCAATGCGCGGCAATAAGGATTGACTCTTCTTATCTTTGTAACAGATCGCTACTAGTAACTCTAAGGGAACCACTAGCAAAGGGAGGTGGTGCCCTAAAGGAAACTAGACGCAAGCAAATGCAAGCATGAAGCGTCTTTCTGCGAAAGCGGAAGCTTGGCTCGGGCCCTACCGCAAAAGAGACATGAGTCAATGCAGCTCAGTACATGCTAACTTTCACACTCGTGTGTTTTTCTTTTGACTCATGACTCTCGCGGATCTGAACTAAAGGCCGCTGCAACCAGTCGAGGAGTTCATCTCGAAGATCTCGACTGATTTTGGTCAACGAATCTGCTCGTTGAAGGCCTGTAGGCACCCAATGGATGGTGTGCCTGTCAACAACTTCTTGTACGCTGCGAATGTTCACCAATGAACGTTTGTCCTCAACCGTAGGGTTCTGTGAGGACACTGAGTCAAAAAGTGATTTGCAGTCGAGCGGCAGATCCTTTTGCTTCTTGAGGACTTCCAGTCAACGACCCCTCCAAGGCAAGCCTTCTCTGTCACCGTGGCCGGTGTAAGGAGGAGAAGTCGTCCATGTTGGCTGGCGCTTCCCTGAGCGGAGCGTTAGCCCAGGAGGCATCAGAGTAGGCCAACACCGTTGTAGTCCTGTCGATGGGGACAGGATACAGGCGTAGACCGAGGTGTTTGGTGGCCTTGACATGCTCGAGCTGTTGATACAAACAGTCCAGGTCAGCATACGTGGTCTCTTGGCCACGATTTGAAAGTGAAATGGCACTTGCAATGTCCAACCTGCTCTGTCCTGACAACCATTGTAAACACCCACTTATGGACCTAAACTCTGGCCAATGATGCGCTGCCAAAACATCTGTTTTCTTGTAGCGACTGCCAATGTGACCTGACTCCAAACTCTCAATGAAAGTTTCCTGCACAATCCTGAGGGTCTGGATGTCGCCAGTCCGTTCGAGATGCAGCTCTTTGCCCTTGAAAATGAGAGGTTTTCCAATTTCCAAAACCTGTTCTGCACCCCATTTGAAGGCATTCAAAAACTGATCGAAGGGGAAGCTGTCGTTGAAGGTGATGAGAAAATCATCAACGTAACAAATCAGAACAGCTGAAGGTGCCGGTGGGTTCAGAGGATCCGGGTAGTAAAACATCATTCGGTCTAAAGAATGGATCTTGAATCCCAGTCGGACTAGCCGGTCTGTGACCTCCTTTGCCCATGTGTAGGGAGCGTTACTGAGGCCGTACACGTTGCCAGTAATCTCATACAAGTCACTTGTGAAGACCTTGGCCCGCTCGATGATGGGATCACGAGGCGCTCTCAAATACAACTTTCCAGCTCTCTCCGAAAGATCTTGAGCCCCCTGAAGGAAAGCTGTTGCGGCGTCCCTGCCCACATCTTCCAAGTCCTGGTGGAACCAAAAGCCTTGCCATGCAAGCCGCTGATGAAGATCAAGTAGGTCAACATCTCTGAAATGCGACTTGGAGTGGCAGCTTGACGAGTTAGGGATTTCAGGTCAGGATCCTGATTCCCTCTGGCAACAATCCTTGTCTTGGCCTTTAAGGGAGGCACACCCTTATTCTTGTCTCTGTAGCAAGCGCGGCTGGTGATGACCCGCTTGCGACGTACAGGGTCTCGAAGGATCTCCTGTGCCTCTTGAGGTGGAACGGGTTTGAGAGACTTCCATTCCATGAAGCTTGCTTCCTCCTTCTGTGCCGACTTCACGAACTCTTCAATGTACTCCTCTGCTTGGGACAAAATGTCTCTGTAGTGGAGTTCCTTCTCGATGGCCTTCTTCTCCTGACGTGTGAGCTTTTTGGTGCCAAACTTGTAGTCATCTGCCTCAGTGTCTGAGTCACTTGGTCGGCTCAAAGCGTCGCCGACATTCTTTGCCAGCTCGAGAGCATAGACCTGGTAGTAGCGCTTGGATGGAGGCAGTGGGACATCGTCTGAGCCATCCCAACCTGGTTCGATCTCGTCCAGGGCATCGTCATAGGCTCTAAAGACCTGATTCTTGCGAGACGGCTTGGAGTACCAAAGCTCGGTGATGACATTCTTAGGACCATCGAAGTTGAAGTGCTCTTCATCTTCCTTCTCTGGGTCGAAAACGCCCTCGAAGATGATCTCATTGGAGTTCGCGTCTATGGTCCTCCTCCACTTCACGTAGGTATAGGAGGGCCAGTGGACATGGTCTGCTGGGGATGTGAAACAAGTAGGTCGAGCCTTGCCCAGCATTTCAATCGTGCAAAAGGTCGTGCAAAAGTGCTCTGGTAGTTGTAGAGCTCTTAAAGATGAATTGCCTGCCTTGCGAGCCATCACATCGGTCTTGAGTGCGTCGAAAGGCCTCTTGGCTGGAAGCACTGGAAGGGGCTCGTCAAGGTCTGGTGGTGTCTGTGGGATTATCTCTTGGAGATGTCCTCCGTCATTGTCATTGTCGCCTGTGAGGTCAACCACTTGTAACGCCGGTGCAGGATCAGGCATCTCACCTGAGCCTGCTGGTAATCCTTGTGGAGGTGGGAGATCCGGCAGGTCCTGAGGTGTGAGCCACCGAGCCTCAGTGTTTGGCACCCTGTCCGTATCTCCCTGATGTGGTAATGAAGGTATCTGCTGTGTCAAATTGGATACGGCGTCTTCAACGGGTTTGACCTCAGGCGAAGTCATGGTTGCTTGTCTGGTGGTCTGAAGGCGCTTCTGACTAACAGGCGTCCTGGACCTCATTCGTCGGCTTGGCGTGAAAGGAGCTGGTGAGGCATGCTCCGGTCCGCCAAAGACATTCTGGGTCTGATTGATGTTCTGCTGCATGTTGATCACTGTCTGAGGGCTCTGAGGCTCATGCATGTCCTGCTGAGTAGCTTCTTTTGGTGGAGTTGCCGAAGACAAAGGCAAAACTAAAGGCTCTGCCTGAGGTGCTTGTGGATGTTCTGACTGTGGAACGTCCAATTGAGGAAAATCGGCGTCCTCAAATTCCAGGCTCTCATAGCCTGGAGGCCTGGAGGTGGCAACTCTGCATCAGGTGGAAGTACATCTTCCTCCCATAGATCATCTTGAAGATTCTTCTCGGCCTGCTTCAAGGCCTGAACATCAGCTCTGGACGGAATGTACTCCTCATAGCCGAAGACATCTCTGGCCTGATTCTTGGCCACTTTCACCGTGTTGTTTCCGGACTGGACCCAAAGATTGCCGTCCGGATCCTTTCCGAGATAGCGAGCAATGCGATACCCGCCTCTTTTGCGATGTGATCTCGTGGTCCATCGCCAATAAGCAAGCAGAGAGCCAGGTACTGGATCCTCTATTGGCTCTGTGTTTGTCTTTCTCAACAAAGCTCTCCGCAAAGTCGAAGATGCGGAAGCTTCTGCCAAGGCCTTCATGGCTTCACATCTCATCATGGCCGACTGCTGTTGAGCTTCTGCAGTCGTTGAACCGGCCACCAATGATCTTGGGTCATTGATGAAGTCAAGGCCGACTCGAGGAATCTTTCCGAAGGCTGCTATGTAGGGTGGTCGTCCCGACGTCCAAGTAGCAGCATTCTTGGCATGAAGGGCTGAAATGATTGCGTTGTCCAGCTCTTCTGTGGAAGCACAAGGTGTTGCGTCCACGATTCTTTCCAATAACATCCTCAGGGTGCCATTGTGGCGTTCGATAACGCCCAACTGATGGTGAGCCTCTGGTGGTATGAAGTCGACGAAGGCGCCGCCATCGTCGAAGAAGTCTTGACAATGAGACTTGACGGCGCCATCATCGTCCAAAGAGATGCGAAGTGGGAAGCCAAAGTTGCGAATCCATGCTGTCTTGAAGGCCTGGACGACATGTTCTGGCCTCCTGGAGTCCAAACGAATGGCAGCATGGTAGTGAGTGGCTTCACAAACTATGCCGAGTATGGCATGATTCACTGAGCGAATGTCCCTGGCATAGAAGATATCCGCCTGGAGATGGTCTGCAAATTGACCCAGGTACTTGGGTTTTGAAGCTGGATTGGGTTTCCCTGGAGGTTTTGATCTCTCGCAAGCTGAGCAAACCATAGCCTTTGTGGCCTTGATCACTTGATCACTTGTAACGCCGTTCAAGGCAAGCAGCTTGATGAGCTCTCCAAGTGATAGGTGTCCCATGTTCTTGTGCATCCTGGCGACAGCGGCTTTGATAGCTCGGTCTATTCCAGAGGTTCCTGGGAAGGTGATCTCATCGTTGTAGACCTCTTTGGTAGGATTGGCGCGAGCTTGAACTGCATCAATTCCGCTGCCTCAATGCCAGGTATTCCCAAGTCCTCATCGGCAGTGCGAGGGTAGCCAAAGAAGAAGATTGCTACCTCGACCGGTGCCTCAAAGCGGCCTCTCGGGAAGTGAACATCGGAGAGATCCTCCGAGAGTATGTCGAGTTCTTCTCTGCCGGTGTACTTGAGCACTTGCCCTCGATGTGTGTGCGGAACGTGCATGGGAAGACGTTGAACTAGAGGACGTTTTGCAAGTTGAAGTCGAGTGATCTCCCAAGGCAGTAGGGCTTGTATCTGTCCGTAGAGATGATCATGTTTCTCCAGGACTATGTTGCTTGTGCTGGATGAGGTAAATAGCCGATTGGCTTGGGCGATGACTTCCTTCCAAGCTTGCTGGTCATCGGATGGCTGCGAGAAGACTGCATAGACCTTCTTGGGCTGGAAGCGCGAGGGATTCCGCATCCTGGCCACATACTTGATGCCTTTCAAAATAGAGGTGACCAGGTCTGGAGGGTATTCTTGTGACAAAGTGGTTTCTTTGCCCTCCAAGGGAACGCATTGTTCCAGCTCTTCAGCCGAAAGCTTCTTGACCAAGTAACTGAGGATGTCTTTGTTGTTGGAGCCGAACTGGAAGCTACGAATCATCTGGCCTCTTGAGTTGACTCCACCGTATGCCCCTGAGTGGCATGTAGCAAGACATCCATTGGTATCCTCAAGCATGGATGTGACTGCGGGTTCTTTCCACAATCTGGAC